AGGAGGAGGAGGAGGAGGAGGAGGAAGAGGAGGAGGAGGAGGAAGAGGAGGAGGCAGCGATCGCCCTTTTTTTATCCCTTCCCCTCTCTGCCTGTGCCAGGAAGCCCAACTCTACCTTCGCCTGGAAAGAGCCTTTCATAAACCCAGCTCAAGGCTCCCATTCACGGCCATGGAGCCGGGAAAAAAAAACGGGAATAAAAAAAAAAAAACCCAACCCGAGCAAGCGGAGACTTTGGGATTTCTTCTTCTTCCTCTTTTTTTTTCGCTCTCCCTCTCGCTCTTCTTCTTTTTCTTTTTTTTTTTTTTTTTTTTTTTTTTTTTTTTTTTTTTTTTTTTTTTCGCGCCCAAAAAAAAAAAAAAAAAAAAAAAAGAACCCAGCGAAAATTTGATGTTTTTACCTTCTGCTCCCCCAGAGAGGAAACTTTGGGATTTTTCGCTCCTCGCGGCCGTTCTGCCCCTAAATATCCGCGAGAAAAGCGGGGAAATAACGGGAAAAAAATGGGGGAATAAAAAAGGAAAACAAAATCCCTCAGAGTTTGATTTTTAAAGCTGAGTGAGTCAGCCCCGAGCCCGGCGCCTCTCTGTGTTTGCCCGCGTGGTGCATCCCTGGCAGGGTTTGTAACCCTTTCCCATCCTCGCTTCTCCTCCCGGCATGGAAAAACGAGAAGGGAATGCTGGATCCAGCCGCAATTCCCAAATAATCCCACCCACCCCCTCCCAGCTCGCTTGGGTGGGTTGGAATTTTTTTAAAATTTTTATTATTTTATTATTATTATTATTATTTTGGCTGCGGAGTTTTATGAATGAAAGCTCCCGGCTGAGCTGGGAGTGATATCCCAAGCCTGGAAGCTGGGAATGCTGGAGAAATCCAGGCTGGGAGAAAGGGGAGGAGGGAGAGAGCAGCGGGATGGGCTCAGCCTGGAATCTCCAAACTCCCCCCTTTTCCCGGTTTTCAGGGATTCTGGGATCTGCCGGAGAACTCTGCGCCCATGTGGGTGGGAAATAAAAAAAAAATAAGTTAATTAATCCCTAAAAAAATCAAAGTAATCCCAAATCCCGAGGATTTCGGGGGATTTGGGAGCGAGGGCAAAGCGCTTTTGCAAGGGGAGGAATAAATTTTTAAAAAAACCTCCAAAACCTCTAAAATAAAGGACGGGAAAGGCGTGGAAAGAGGGGCAGGGAATTTTTCAGCCCCACGTTTGCAATCGGCTTTTCCAAACTGCTGCTCCTCGGAGTCAGGGAGAAGCCCAAAAATTCCCGATTTCTCCTTAAAACCAGAGAATTCCCTGACTGGCAAAAGTTTCTTGGGATAAGAAGCAAAAAAAAAAACCTCCCCCTCCCACCACCCCACACCCCTCCAGTGCCGCCGCTGGGAAATGCGGGAAGGGAAAATATTCCCGGCTTTTGGAGCTTTTTTGGGGATTTTTATTGGAGAGAGAGAGAGAGAGGGAAAAAAAAAATATAAATAAATAAGAAAATCCCCAAATGAAAAGGGACGGAGAGCGCTGGCGGGGGGGGAGTTTGGGGGTTTGGGGCGAGCGAAAAGATAAAATTACTGCGGCTAAAAATAAAGCGGTGGTTAAAGGTTCCCCCTCCCTCTGCCATCTCCCACCCCTTCCCTGCCTCTCCCTGCTCCCTCCCTCCTTCCCTCCCTCCTTCCCTGCCTCCTTCCCTCCCTCTCCCGCTGCCTCTCCGTGTTTGCGTTTGACAAAGAAATTATTTGAACTTCCCGGAGCCGCAGAAAATCGGGATCCCGAGGCGCAGCCGGGCCCATATGGATGTGATTTTCCCGGCCCTCTCCCAGATGATCCAGCGGCACCGGGAGCCGCGGAGCTGAGCGGCTCCGCTGCCTCTTCCCATGGGCTCCGCGGCGGAATTTTGGGAGCTGCCCGCCACTCCAGCCATGAGAAAACGAGGAAAAGCCCCGGGATCTCTCGTCATGTGCCTCTCCGGCTGAAAACCGGGGCAGCGCAACCAACAAATCCCGCGGATCCCGCAGGGACGGGAGGGAGGAGGACGAGGAGAAACCCGCGCCGCTGGAATTCCGAGCTCCCGCTTCCCTGCGCGAGGCTGGATGCTGGAATCAGCCCCTTGGATATGGGATCATATCTGGTGTATCCCAGCCTGGGTTTGATCCTCTGCTGCTCCGTGCTCAGCTCCGTCTACGCGCTGGTGAGTCCCGCTCCAGTTTTTAGCGCTTTTTCCCCTCTTTTTTCTCTTTTTCCCGTGTTGTTTTTCCCGCAGGATCCGTGCGGATCCTGCCGCCAGGAGGGATAAATGAGTGGATGAAGGATTTTAGCTGCTCGGGGTGTTTTTGGGATCCGCTGGCGGCTCCGGGCGCTGCAGTGCAAATGTCTGTGCTTCCCAAGAGTTGGGATCGCTTGGAAACCTGTGGACGGGACGTGGGAGGTTTGACAGGGATCTGGGATGGCGTTTGGGGCAGGATTTCAGGATCCGCCTGTGGAGAAAGCACAACTTTGCTTCTTCTTTTCATTTCTTTTTCTCCTTTTTTCCCCCCTTTTTTTGATTTTTTATTCTGCTTTTAATTTTTTTTCCTCTTTCGTTTTTTCTCTTTTTCTTCTCTTTTCTTCCTCTTCCTTTTCCTCTCGTTTTTTTTTCCCTTCTCATTTCTTCCTTTTCCTTTCCCTTCACTTCCCTCTCCCTTTTCCCCTTTCCTCTGCTTTTTCCTTTTGCTTCCCTTCCCTTTTTCCTTTTTCCCTTCCTCTTTTCCTTTTTCCCTTCCCCTTCCCTCCCTCTCCACCCCCTCCAGGACAATTTCATTCCCAATTCGTCTCCTTTCCCTGCACAACTCCTTCAATCCCAACCGGAGCCTTCCCTTTGGATTTCAATCCAGGGAAAACAGGGAAGTTGTAGGAACCCTTTGCTCCTTTCCACCCCTTCCTGCAAGGCTGGAAAACCGGGATCAATCCATCCAAAGTGGGAAGTGCAGGTTTAAGACCTGCAGCTCCGAAACCTTCGGGAAGCAGGGAAGGGACATTTCCTCGGGAATCAGCCTCTGGATTTGGAGCCGGAGCTGGAATTCTGCTGTGACAGGAGCTCTCCTGGCTTTCCCCATCCCTGGGCTTCTCCCTCCTGCTCCCATTTCCCGGCGTTTTCCGATCCAGGAAGGAGCAGGACACCCATGGAAAGTGGGATCTGCACTCCAGGAGGGACAGAAATAGGGATTGGGATTGGGATTTGGGATAATTCTGCCTCCACTCGGTCCTTCCTGACCTTCCAGAATCCACCAGCCTGGGCCTTACCCCTGGATTTGGTAGTTTGGAATCTCGTGCAGAGCTGCTAGGGGGGAGTTTTCCAACTTTTCCAGAGGGAAACTTCTCCTCAATAGATGAGAAGGAGCAGCCCCTTGGAAAACAATCCCGGTCTGAGCCCATCCCAGCTCAAACGTGTGGAGAAACCTCCCAAAATCCAAAGAAAATTGGGGAAATCAGGAGAACCGCCTGCAGATCTGTTGGGATTTCAGGGCTGGATGAGGTTTTTCCCCAGATTCCAGGGCTGAATCAGCGTCTCCCGACTTTGGGGTCCTGCAGCACCTGCTGCCCCCTGCTCCAGAATTCCTGCAATTCCTGCTGCTTTGGGACTGGGAAAATCAGGATTGGGAACCAGCCAGGCGGGAGCTGGGGAAATCTCAGGATGCAAAAAATCCGGGAAAGGCTGCGTCTCCCATTCCCAATCCCATTCCCGTTCCCATTCCCGGCTCACCTGGTGTCAGCTGCCTGGAATTCCCAGCGGGATTTCTTTGGGATACCCCATCCCAAGAGCTCCTCTCCATCCCGAGGGATGAGCTGGGAGGAGCCCCCATGTCCCCAGCACCAGCTCAGGGAGAGCTGGACTTGGGCAAAAACCGGGAAAAACTCGTCCAAGAGTCCCAGAGGGCTGAGAAATCCCTGGAACTTGTTGGGAATTTTCCCAAAGCCCCTCCTGGACCTGGATTTGTTGATCCCGCTGGTCCTTCCCAACTCAGATTGTTACCGATTTCAGGTCCTGCTGCTCCAAACCTTGCTCGGTTTAGTTAGTCCAGGCTTAAATTCCCATTCCAGACTCTTCCCTTGCTTTTCCAACAGCAGAAGGAATTCCCAGAGGTTTCCTAATTCCATCCCGGCAATCCGAGTGCCCCTCCTCAGGCAGGATCGTGTCACCCCTCATCCAAAAATCGCCTCCAGCCCGGTTTTTATCGGAGCTTCCTTCTTTTCCCGGCTCATTGGATCTTTAATCAGCCTTTGGAAAGAGGGAATGGGATCCAGAGGAGAGCTTTGATGGATTTGTTATGGAATTCATTGTTATTATTTATGGTACAAATTGTCATTATTATTTATTATGAATTTTGTTGCTGCTGCTGCGGCTCTTTACGGGAGGCTCATAAATACATTTGGTATTTGCTCGGTGCCGCTGAGGGAGCTGCTGCCATAAATTTTGCCTTCCCAAGGAGCAACAAGGATAAAAAGAATCCATGGGAAAGCCCAGCAGGATGGGGATGCAGGGATTTAATCCAGGCTCTGGGCTGAGCTTAAAGCGCTGCCGAGGTTTTTCCCCCTGGGTCGGATCAGGAGATTCCCGCAGCCAGAGGCGGCTCCAGGGCGCAATTCCTGGCTGAGTCTTGGGAATGCAGGCCCTGATTCCCGGGATTTCTGCAGCTCCGTGGTGCTGGGATGGGGCAGAGCCCGGAGTGTCCCAAATCCGGCGCCGTCATTCCCGTTATTCCCGTTGGAGCCAGCAAGGATCACGCGCCAGGTGCTTTTTTTAGGGAATCGTGCTGGAAATCCTTTCCCATCCCTGGAAATCCTTTCCCATTCCCTGGGATATGCCAGGATTGGGAGCTGGATCCGTCCTCTGCAGCAGCCGGGCTGGGTGTCCCCAAATTCCAACCGGGAAGGGAAACCCAGCACCGGGAAAAATCTCTGGGAAGGAGAGAAAAGTGTGGGAAATCAGGGCCCTCTTCCCTGTGGCTCAAATCCCTGCAGGATCAGCTTCCCAATCCTGGGATTTTAGGGTCGTTTGAGGCGGGGGAAAGACTTGGAGGAGGCTTTGTCCCAGCTCTTGTGACAATCTGGGGAAATATTCCCAACATTTCCCTGGAACAGCCCAAAAACACCTGCCTGGAGAACGGCTGGAATTCCAGCCGGATGGAGCGCCCCAAACCCGGATGGATGAGGCTGGAAATCTGGGATAATTCTGCTCTTTAGCCCCAGGATTAAGGAATTAAGACCGGCCTAAAGCTGGGCTTGGGGAGAATCAGTGGCGAATTAAGAGTGGGGTCTGACACCAGCGGAGCTCGGGAGAAGGGAAAATGTGGGAATGATTTTGATTTGGGAAGTGCTGGCAGAGGAAAAATCTCCCCATCTCCTGAAAGGGTTGGATTTTAGGATCTGAAGGATCTTTCCAAGCTAATCCTGGGATTCATGGAGCCAAAATCTCCAAGGTTTGCTCTCCCAACCCTTTTTCTTTTCCCTTTACTTCCTCCTTGGGCTCGGCCTGGGAGATCCCAGCCCTGTGGTGAATGGAGGAGATGTTCTGATTAATCAATCAATTATCAATTAATCAATTAATTATTATTAATAATAGGAAGCCTCCTGCAGGCCTTGGGACCAGAATATCCCAATTTTGGGAAGCAGCTGCCAGGCCAAGCTGGCCGCACTGGGCTGAGCAGGGAAGCAGATCCATGTGGGAAGGGAATGGGTGGGAAAAGGGACCATTCCCACTTTTTATCAGGAAAAATTTGGGTGGGAAAAGGGACCATTTTCCCACTTTTTATCAGGAAAAATTTGGGCTGGGAAAAGGGACCATTCCCACTTTTTATCGGCTGCGATCCCAGCCCTGGCTCTGCTCAGGGTGTTCGGGTGATGCTCAGAATTCCCTCGGCTTTTGTGACGCTCCCAAAAATTCCGATCCTGATCTTTGGGGGATCGGGAATCTTTTCTGGCACAAGGAGATGGATGCAGGGAGAAAATTCCCCAGGGAGCTGCATCCAGCCCTGGATCCCTGGAAGTGTCCTAGGAAAGGCTGGATGGGGCTTGGAGCAGCCCAGGACAGTTGGAATGGGATCATCCTGAAGGTCCTTTCCGAGGAAAAGCACTCTGGAATTCTGTGCTGGTGAGGAAAGTTGGGATTAAGGAAGTGCTGGATGGGGTTTTCCTCTTGGACTCGTTGCTTGTTGCTCGGATCAATCCCAGGGATCTCCAAAAATCGGGAAAAGGGAATGGTTTGAGGCTGGATGGAAGGAAGGAATGATGATGTTTGTCCTTGGGATAGAACCCCTAATAAAAAAGATAAAGATAAAATAAAAATGAAAAATTAAAAATTAAAGAATAAAAGTTAAAAAAAATTAAAAATTAAACATTTCGAAAAAATAAAAATCAAAAATTTCAAATTAAAAATGCAAAAAATAGAAATAAAAATAAGAAAAATAAAAATTAAAATAAAAATAAACAAAAAAAAACAAAAAAAAGTAATAAAAATAATTATAATAAAAATAATTACAATATGAATAATAAAAATTTAAATAATAAATAGTCCTGTACAGAAACGCCACAAATCCCAACTTCATTAAACCAAGACAGGCCCCAAACAACGGGAAATGTCCTTTCCTAAGCACATTCCCGGGAAAGGAGCCCATCCCTTCTCCCAGATTTCTGAGGGACTCTCCTGCCGTTCCAGCCCTCGGGATCAGCCGAAATCCCTGGATCTGAACCTCTCCAGCAGCAAAGGGAAAACCAACAAACCCCTGGGAGAGGCCAAAGCCCGGCCTGGCAGCTCGGCCCTCTCGAGCCAAGAAAATTCCGGCAAATCCGCGCTGGATTTGTGGGGGCTCCTTGGGAAGAGGAAAAGCGGGAGCACGGCTGGGCTCGCGGAGGGGTCGGTGGGAGATGAAAGGCGAGGGGTGGCCCTGGCTCCGGCTGTTGTTGTTTGGTTTGTGCTCTCCCAGAAATAGCCCGGAGTGGTTTTTTGGGATCAGTGGGATTATCCCGGCTGGAGCGTGGCTGTGCCTGCAGGGATCCCCCAGGCAGGGACAGCTGGGCACCCCCTGTCCTGTTGGATGCTGGGAGGGACATCCCAGAGCTCTTCCCGGGATAAGGGATTGTCCTGCTGGAGGATTCCCATCCTTCCGAGAATTCCCTCCAGCCAATCCAGCCGGAGTCAGGCTCCGTTTGCAG